CCCATTAATTAACAGTTTATTAATGGACTATTAATTAGTTATAATGGATAGTTTCAAATAATTAACAAACTATTAACATTTATTTAACAAGTCATTTGTAACCCACTAACTAACAGTTTATTAATTTACTTACAACTAGTTATAACTGATAGTTATTAACAATTAGCTTTTATTTAATAAATAATTTATAACCCACTAACTAACAGTTTATTAATGGACTTATAACTAATTATAACAGATAGTTATAAATAATTAACAAACTATTAACTTTTATTTAACAAGTTATTTATAACCCATTAATTAACAGTTTATTAATGGACTATTAATTAGTTATAATGGATAGTTTCAAATAATTAACAAACTATTAACATTTATTTACCAAGTCATTTATAACCCACTAACTAACAGTTTATTAATTTACTTATAACTAGTTATAACCGATAGTTATTAACAATTAACTTTTATTTAACAAGTCATTTATAACTAGGGCCAGACGGAATCTCCGGACGTTTTTTGCTATTTCTGCAGAGAATTTTGGTAAAAATCTGCGTATTTCTGCGGAATTATTTTGGGAGTATCATAACTAAAACCTTAATATGTGAAATATTGTGTAAATAATATGTGTAAATAATATGTTTTTAACTTTTATTTCATGTTTAAAATGCAAATCCAGTTAGATTCACTTTATTTGGTAACTAAAACAAATTTGTCATATAAAATATCTACTAAAAGACAGAACATATTACTGTACAAACTGCATTGTACATAAATCAGATCCACATTTTCACATTAGTCAATAATATTACTGTTATTAATTAAAAAACTGAATAAATATAGATTTACACACATTTGCTCAATAAACCGAATTAATGATGGCTAAAAAATGGCAGAAATCTACGGAATTCTTCTTACGCAGATTCCAGGTGGGCCTATTTATAACTCATTAACTAACAGTTTATTAATGGACTATTAACTAGTTATAACAGATAGTTTTTCTAAATCTTATTCTAAAGCAAAAACAACACTATTTTCTTTTGCTGTTGTCAAATTATAGCAAGTTTTAAGGAAAAACTCACTTCATTTTGACTCATTATTCCTGAAAGCAAAACAATATTTTAGATTTTTCTAGAAAATGCTTCTTGATTTAAGAATTTAAAGATATTTGGGCAAGAAAACAAGACAAAAACTCTCAATAAGAAAGGCTTTTTTTTTTTTTAAGCAGTGGGCCTGCTCACTTCAGACACGAAGGCCATCATATCAAAAGAGCAACAGAAGAGTAAAGGTGCACATCTACATACAGAAGCTAGCGCGCATTCACATTATGCTTGCAAGAAAATCAAATATATGGCCGCCCTGTAAACAAGCCCGATAGGAAATAATAAAATGAGAATCGCCTATACACAACAGGAGGGCATCAAAAAATATATCCGAAGGATTTCTGCATGTGTGCCATCATTTGCATTTCCTTTACCTCTCCACAGATTTCCAGCTGGATTTTTGGTTTCGAGTGTAACGCGCCGAGAGATTTTACACCATTTACAACATGAGCGATGGGATGTGGACGTAAAAGAGCAGAAACGTCTGTGGTTTTTGGTATCAAAGTGGCCTGAAGAGAAGGCCGACGTGGGACGACACTGGGAAAAAAAGGTGATTTTCACATTTGGGATTTGCTCACTTCTGATTGCCTTTTATTGCATCCTCATGAGTGCTGCTGCTGATGAAGATCCTCGATGACCACGATAATAATGAGATATAAAGGGATCTGTGTGTCTGTACATATCAGACGCCTCATGAATATTCATCCGTGAATAAACTGATGCACGTGAATCTAATTGAAGATGCAAAATATTGTGCTGACAACCTTCAGAAATCCATGTTTTGATATCTAGATCTATACTGCATTGCTTTGAGTTCTCGTTAAAGCAGGGAAGTTATGATGTTCCCTGATGTTTAACATTAATTAAATCTTTAAAACGGATGTCAGGATTATTAGACGAACAGAAATTGAAGATTAAGCATTACATTTTTGGGCCTTAATATAATTTGTTTTTGAAATGCATATAATATTTCTGTTCATTTTGTTTACAATGATTTAACGTAAAGCAATTTAATGTGATGCATATTTATCACTAATAAACAAAACAGGTGGGAATCGTTATCGTGTCATATTTTAATATTTAAAATATCACCTATTTGAGTTCATTCATTCATTCATTCATTCATTCATTTTCCCTCAGCTTAGTCCCCTTATTTATCACAGTGGAAAGAACCGCCAACTTATCCAGCATGTTTTACACAGTTCCAGCTGCAACCCAGTACTGGGAAACATCCATACACACTCAGACACTCCCGCCAATTTAGTTAATTCAATTCAATCTATAGCGCATGTGAAACTGGCCCAGCCAGGACTCGAACCAGTGACCTTCTTGCTGTGAGGCGACAGTGCTAACCACTGAGCCACCGTGTTGCCCCAAGTGCTCATTGGCTTACAATTAGCATAAATATTAGTGAAAGCACATCAATTATTCAATAAAAAATGGCATCGATTTATTAACTGTGTGCATCTATTTGAGATTATTTACATCCAAACATATTCAAAATGCTAATCGTCATAAATATGTAAACTTAAAAACAATAATTATGAGCATAGTTTATTTATATATATATATATATATATATATATATATATATATATATATATATATATATATATATATATATATATATGTGCAATATTTTCACTTTCAGCTTTTATTAATATTTGTTAATGTTAATTACGATGTTTAAGTTAGTAATTGTTATAATTAACATTAATATTATAACTATTGTATTATAATTTAATAATATTAGCTCATGATAACTAATGTACTTTTTAAAGGTAAATCAAATGTACTTTTCTAGTTGGCAATAATGTGTCAGTGCTCTTTAGGAAGAGATTCATCAGAATAAACAGCAAAAATCCGTCCAAGGCACTCGAAAAATGTAGAAACAAATATGAAAAGCCTTTATTGACATGGCTATTCCTTAAAACTGCGCCTATGCGTCTCGGCAAACACTTGCATTCATTAGGGTAACTCATTACATTAGGTTACCCTGATGAAGGCAAGTGTTTGCCAAAGTGCATATAGGCACAGTTTTAATAAAGACTTTTTAATATTTTTTCAACATTGATGGAGTGCCTTGGACTGATTTTTGCTGTTTATTCTGATGTATGCCTTACCCAACGATCACAGATACATTATTTAAGCTACGTCTGAGCACTATTTGTTTGATTTTGGATTTTAAAAAGCCTTTATTGACATGGCTATTCCCTAAAACTGTGCCTGCATGTTTTGGCAAACACTTGCCTTCATTAGGGTAACTCATTACATTAGGTTACCCTGATGAAGGCAAGTGTTTGCCAAAGTGCATATAGGCGCAGTTTTAATAAAGGCTTTTTAATATTTTTTCTACCTTTGTTGCTTTTCCGAGTGCCTTGGACTGATTTTGACCTCATTCCCTGACACTGACACATTATTTAAGCTACTCCTGAGCAATATTTGTTTGATTTTGGATTTTTAAAAAGCCTTTATTGACATGGCTATTCCCTAAAACTGTGCCTGCATGTTTCAGCAAACACTTGCATTCATTAGGGTAACTCATTACACTAGGTTACCCTGATGAAGGCAAGTGTTTGCCAAAGTGCGTACGTGCAGTTTTAATTTTTTTTTTTCCATTTTTTAGGTGCCTTGGACTGATTTGTGCCTTTTAATTTGATGAATCCCTTACCCAAAGAGCACTGACACATTGTTTAAGCTACCCCTGAGCACTTTTTGTTTGATTTTGGATTTTTAAACAAGACCTTTTCTAGTCATCTCAACTTACATCAGTCAAGCTGACTAAAAATATTAGGTTAAACTTTGTATAACTTAAAGAAATATAGTTGAAACCTGATTAACCTATTAAAATAAGTTAATAAAGCAACATCAAAACATGTTAGTAACACTTTGTAATAACTACACACATCATTTATTAAGCATTAGCATATAGTGGATCATTATCTGTTAAGCATTAACTCTACAGTAATAGACGTTAGTAAGCAGTTCATAACTACAAATATAACTACTAGCTACAAATGCTCTAGTCTTGACTTATTACCACATTTATAATGTGCTTAATAATTTTACTGTCATAATTTGTGACTGATTGATTTCTCATTACTAAATTAAGCATTGCATTATTTACAAATCAGTTGTATATAAGAGTAGTTGGTGGTTTTTAAGATAATTCATAAGGAGTTAGTAAATGATTAATAAACTACTGAAATCAACGTTTATATGTCTTATTATTCAGGTATATAATAAAGGTTATTATTTAAGTTAATAAATTATATGTTAACACAACTAGTTTTATGACCTAATCTATGCTTTATAAATCCCTCATAAATGACAATTAAAGGCTCAGTATCAAATGAACAACACATCTTTGCAATCCCGTCTAAAAAATAAAATACTGTAAAGTTTAAACATCGCTGAATAACAGGAGTATCAAAATACAACATACAATTGGATAAAAAAACAACAACATAATAATTTAACAATATGATATGATGCAACAGTTCAATGTTGTTTAGCGAAGTTTAAACTACAGTATTTTTATTTTAGATAAGTTGGCAAAGATTTATTTTTATTTGATATAGTTTTATTTGTGTTTCTTCATATGAATAGAAATGAATAAAGTTGTTTATTTTCTTTTTTTAGAATTTAACTGAGCCTTTAATTGTCATTTACAAGGCATTTATAAAGCATAAATAGTCCTTACTTTAGGTCACAAAACTGGAATACGTTGAGTTGATGAAGCATTTATTAACATGCAAATGAACAATTCACTTATGCCTGAATAATCAGATATATAAATGTTAATTTCAATAGTTTACGACTAATTTACTAACTCATTCTGAATGATGTTAAAAACCACCAACTATGTTTAAATAAGTGGTTTGTAAATAATGCAATACTTAATTTAGCAATGACGAATTAATCATTAACAAAGTATGAAAACACATTTATTAAACACATTACACATGTATTTAACAGTCAAGACTAAAGCATTTGTAGCTGCAGTTATAAACTGCTTATAATGGTTATTAATGTAGAGTTTATGTTTAACAAATAATGAATTCACTATTTGCTAATGCTAAATAAATAGTTCTTAGTATGTAGTTAGTGTTACCAATTTTTGGCATTACATTCTTTACAGAGTAATTAAAGTCTAATGTTAACAAATAAAACCTTTGCAATTATTTCTAGCAAATATGCATCATATTAAGTGCATTATTTAATGTGCAATTATTTATTTATATGCACTTCAAAACCCCAAATCTTAAATTTAGGCCTTCTTAAAATGCTTTCTCGGGTCTATTATATGCTAAAAGGATGTATTGAAGTACTTTGGCACTATGGTAGATGTGTGAACAGAAGGTGCTGATGAAGGCTGGACTGATGTCTGTCGGTCTGCTCTAACCTGTGGATGATCTGAGAGGTAGCATGAAGACGAGGGCTGACGCTGTGTGTGTGTGTGAGTGTGTGTGTGATGGATCAGTTGGAGGTGTCAGAGTGGACGCTGCCGGGTCCTTCTGTGGGTGAGGTGACGGAGGACGGGGTGGTGGGATCCTGCCAGCCGCCGTTCGCCTGATGGATTAAAACACATGACATACAGATATGAGTGAGACTTACAGCATGAGACAAATCCATATCAGATAGACCAGTTATATATTAGTCATATTAGTATTTCTGATTGCAAGAAACAATGTAAAAACTATGGACAATTAAGCAACTGAACAAATGCTAGCAAGGAATAATCATCGCATTGTGGGGACAAGTATATCAACATTTGTTCATTTTAGCCCTTGTGGTTATAGTTTTTTGGTCTCCATGAAAAAAATGGCTCATAAATAACTCAGAATGAAGTATTTTGAAGATGTAAATATGCAGAATGTTCTATGTTAGGACTGGGTTGTGGGAGGAGAACAGAATATACAGTACTGCACGGTGTAAAAATCATTACGGTGAGTCCCCATAAAGCATGAAAACCCAACATTTGCATTGCAAAATAGGAGGAAATGAGCGAACAGAATCAAGACCCCCAGAACAAAACAGATAAAGGACATTGAGAGAAAGAAAAGTAGCTTCGCTAATCTGACAGACAGCAGAGCGAGCGGCGCTTTCTATATTACACTCCATTTCATGCCGACAGAAAACAGCAAACACTGATCTGCACTTCAATCAAAGCCAACAAAAGAACAGCAGAAATTCGGCAAATGCTGCTGTTTATGCCAGGAGTTGACAAATGCATACTGAAAAACCATAAACGCACACAATCAAACGTGATGCTTTCTATAATACATGTAAATAAATTAAATTAAATGTACAGTGGCTGCAAAATATCTGAACACTCACATTTATAAAAGATAGTGTCAGTATTACACTGAATGAGCCACATTGACAATCTTAAATCAACCCATTTTTGACATTTTTATATAACGAATCAGTTAATATTCGCTGGTTCAGTTGATGAGTGAATGTATAACACGTCCAGCTCAGTATCCGTAAAAATGCTGTTTCGTGCTTTAAATAAGAAACAAAATCTCATCTTTTAAATTCATCCAATATCTGCTGCTTTTCACTGTCTGATATGGGTCGGATTGCTGTATTGACACCATATGTTTTTACTCTTTACTACTAGTTACAGCACTGAATAAGCATGAATGATCATGTGATGTCTCATGCAATCACCTGATCTGTGTTTTGTAATTCATCATTCATTTTCCTTCGGCTTAGTCTGTTTCAGAGGTCGCTACAGCAGAATGAACCGCCAACTACTCCAGCATATGTTTTATGCAGCGGATGCCCATTCAGCTGCAACTCAATTCCCGTAATTCCTACTAACATGCCCAATTCATTTTCTTGTCGGCTTAGTCCCTTTATTAATCAGTGGAATGAACCGCCAACTTACTTACGCATTAACATATAGTAGCCTATTCATCTGGGGATGTTGCTTGGACCTCATTAATATAGGGTATATGTCATCACATTAATCTATAAATCATTTTTGACATTTTTTTTAATATATGTACAATATGACGTACCACTAGTAGGAAGCCCGCGTACCACTAGTGGTACAGGTACCACACTTTGAGAAGCACTGCTGTAGACTATAGGAAAAAAAGAGCTTAAAGAGGCTAATAATTTAGTCCTTAAAATAGATTTTAAAAATTTGAAACTGCTTTTATTCTAGCTGAAATAAATTAAGTAAGACTTTCTCCAGAAGAAAAAATATTATCAGACATACTGTGAACATTTCCCTGCTCTGTTAAACATCATTTGGGAAATATTGATTAAATAAATAAATAAATAAAAGGGGGGCTAATAATTCTGACTTCAACTGTATTAACATCAATTAATAAAATATGCAATAACTAAAAATAAATGACAAAAAAGAAAATACATGTGATAATTATAACAAATACAATAATAATAATAATAATAATAATAAAAAATCTAGATTATTCAAATAATACACATGCATTCAGAATCCCCATTTTGTATGGTGCGTATGGTGTATACATATTTTGCAGCCAGTTTAGACGTCAATTCATCCCCCCCGAGAACATGGTAAAGTTTTTCTGTGTCATTTAATTTAAAAAATTCATTGATTAATGTTTCAAATTGGGGGAAAATATTTGATAATTTTATTATTATTTTAATATTTGATATTTATTTATATATATATATATATATATATATATATATATATTTTAATAATTGTCTCTTTTAGATATAATAATAGTTCAAATGTTTAATATTTCTCTAGTTGTGTAGTGAAGTATTTTGTTTTCTCTCTCTCTCTCTCTGCCTCTGTCTCTCTCTCTGTCAAGGCCATTACCGCGGTGTGCCCCTGATCTGAGCAATGTGCTTGGATTGCTGTCCCGAGTCCACACTCGTCTCCCCGTGTGTCTGTCGTATTGATTTTCCCCTTTACCACACGGCTTGTCGCAGTGAATTTGAGTTGCCAGACGCTCCCCCCCACCGCTTCCCCGGGACGTCCTCCTGCATGCTTTACGCTTTATTTTTAGCGAGATGGTCTGTTTTCTGGCGGGCGTAATCAGGGTCAGGTGACTGTGGGGCAGGGGGGCGAGGCTGGTACATTTGCAGCCGGTGTCACCTGTTCGGCCCTGCAGGTACCGGCCGATCTGATTGGATGTGATGTGTTCGGACGCGTTTTCGTGTCCGCGTCTCGCCGGGCATCAGCCGCCCGTGGCGCTCACAAACACACAGGCAATCAACTAACTGACCACGATCCCCAGACAAGTCCCGCTAAGTGGCATTCTGAGCCCTATGGCTTTGAAATAATTGGTGGAGGGCGAAATAAGAAGAAGGGGAGGGGGGGGAACTGTGTTTTTTTTTTTTTGTCGCCTTACATTGATGCCCTGCGGACTGTACATCTGGTTTGCTGCGAGGCCGTCACTGTATCCTCCTGTCTGGCTGATAACATGGCGAAGGGTATCCACCTGAAACACAACAACAACAACAACACGGCAAGGTCAGAGCGCGGAAAACACGAGCGCAAGGGCAAAAACAAAGCAAAGGCACCACAAAAAGAAGAAAGCAAGGTCGGGGGAAGAAAACAACAGCAAGACAAAGGAAACAAGAAGACACAGAGACAAACGCATGATGGCTTGTAAACACTAAAACACATTATATGATGACAGTACAAAAGCTAGTGGGCTGCCTATTTAGACAACATTTCAGGATGGCGTTGATTAAACATACTGCACACTACACTGGTAAATGTGGTATTGTTATTTAAAGAAACGTGAGAAACAGACTACAGTGAAATCAGTAAAAGTGTGAAATATTATTCTAATTTAAAAGTGTTTTTCATTTTTAATAGTGCCAATATAATATAAAAATACATATGAACACATATAATGCTGCACAACTTGTTTAAAAAACATTGATAATAATCGGAAATGTATTATTATAATGATTGCTAAAGGAAAGTGATGCTGGAAATTTTTGCTTTGATTAAAAAACAAATATATGTCTATGTAACCTTATATTGAAAACTAATCAAACATATACTACACACTACACTGGTTAATGTAATATTGTTACTTAAAGAAAAGTGAAAAACAGACTACAGTAAAATCAGTAAAAGTGTGAAATATTATTTTAATTAGTTTTTTCATTTGAATATATTATACATATATTATATTATTATATATTATATTATATATATTATATAAATTTAATGTATTTTTAAATATATATATATATATATATATATATATATATATAAATAAATATAAAATACTTTAAATATATATATATATATATATATATATATATATATA